ATTAATGACTACTCTTTGAGCACTATTGTGGACCCACTTAAATATAATATCAGGTCTAAGTTTTAATAGCTTACAAATCAGAATGTCATGGATACTTTAAATATTTTGTTGAAATCAATATATACTATGCATACAGCATCTTCATAATCTATGTAGGAAGCTGCCATATTAAAAAAAGGAAGGTGAATCTTCCCAAGTACTGATATCATACTGACAGATCTGTAGCTCCCCAGGTCCTTCTTTTTTCCCTGTAGCTCCCCAGATCCTTCTTTTCCCCCTTTCTAAACATACAAAAATCTCTCCCTTCCATCAATTTGCCTGACACATCTCCTGTTCTTCAGGATTTCTCAAAGATACTTTATAAAGGCTCAACCAAATTATTAGCAGGTTTTTCAGTGCTTTAGGATAAATACTCATACGTCTTTAGTTTTCCATTCAATTTTGCCTGATTCTCAGACCCTACAAGTTTACTTAGCAAGATTTTTTTCTGGAAGCGGATGGCTATTGTCTCCTTCCTATTGTGGGAAGTCAGCCCCCCCCCCAGAAATATTTTTGGAAATATTTAAGAGGCAGAATATATTTCCCTAAAGGATTTTAAAAGCAGAAACCAACCCCAAATCTCTCTGTCCCAAACAGAAACCAAGTCTGCAGAATTGCAGATGTGATAATCTTGTCAGAAAGACTGGAGTCAGGAAACTAGGATTAGGAAGAAAGATCCCTAGAATCAACAATCCCTCATACCAAAAATCTAAGAGTGATCAGCCACAGCCCCAGGAAAGCAGGATATGACCTCTGGGACATAATAGGATTAAACCACCATCATCAGAATACCAGAAAGGCACACTCAGACTCAGGCCAAAGTTCATGCCATAGGAACAACTCCAAACAAAAGGCTCAGCAAGTCCTGAACACCTTGGATTTCTGTATGGTAGGAGGAAAATTTATCTAGAATGTTTGTATTGCCTGTTTTTTATAAGTAGCTGCACACACACACACACACACACACACACACACACACTTCATAATCATACTGAATCTATCTCTTTCACGCACCTTTAGTAAAGCTCCAGCCTGTGTCATTAAAACGTTGTAGGAACAACTTCCAGCAAAATTCCAGGGGTGGAAACCAGGCCCCCTCAGGTGATTTGAATTCATATACCCTGACTAGGGAAGTAACAGAAAAGAGATCTCCAAACCTAAGCCCTGAATATCTTGCACTGGTAGACTCAGATTGGGAGTCCTAGGGCTCACTATGTGCAATTTAAGGAAATTTAATAGCCTGGCTTGCATACTGGCTAACCTCAATTGGACATTACAAACCTGGATGCACTGACCTAAGAGCTAAGGCAGGAAAATATCCTTGAAAATGGGCAGCCAGTGGTTATGTACTGATGAAGACCATGGCTGTGAAGAATTTTGAGAGGCATGTGCTTCAAAACCTGACTGGAAGCTCAAAGTGACATCCAACATTTAAAAAGAATTGGCACCTAATATTGGACACTATGCCACAGGAACACCTCCAAACAAAAGGCTCAAAAAGGTATAAAAACCCACTCCCTACAAGTGCTCTCTCTCTCTTTTCTTCCAGAGCCATCTTTCTGTCTGGCTCTCCTCTTCAATAAACTGCAACCTTCTTTCTAAAGCAGTCACCATGTTGTTTATTCCCAGCTTGGACTGAACCATGATGAAGACTTTTCCTTCAACACTACTTAGAGATTTAAAAACACACACACACACATACACACACACACACATATTCCTTCACCATGTTTTAAAAACATCTGATTTTACAGAATCATTTTATTACAGAGTATAAGGCTCGGAATGGACTTTAGGGACCATTCAATCCAATCACCCGCCGAATGTAAGAATCCATTATTAAAGCATCAACTACGGGTAAACCAGGTTAAGCCATGCAAGACCATGAAGGATGAAAAGACTGCAAGGAAATAAATAATAAATGCAATACATAACAAAGAGCGATACAGAACGTGGCACTTCCAGCCGCTTTAAAAGAAGGTCCGCTGCTTTACATGAAAGGCTCGGCTTCCTGGGTGCCCCGGCTACCGACAGAGAGCTACTGCTCTCGAGTTCTCGAGAGAAAAACTCGCGGTTCCCTCCAGCCACAGCTCCCTGCCACGGCAGCGAGCCATCAGCTCCCGTCCACCAGTCAGCAGAGAAGAAAGCCGACTTACCAAACCACTTTCCCAGGAACCCCTTTTGACACTCGGTTGTTGTGGTAGCAGCAGCGGCTGCCACACCCCCAGCCCCTTTCCAGGCTTCACTTCCGCCCGAAGTCGAAGAAGCTGTTTTCCCCGGCGCGTTCTTAAAGCGCTCGCCCTGATTCATATCAACCGAGCCTAGTTTATATAGCACCCTCTTCTGGCATCAACGAAAGATGCAAGTGCTTGCGAGAAATTTACCGTTGTCAATCCAAAACAGCTATAAGAAACTGGTGTCAAACTCGATCGCGTCACGTGACGTATCGCGACGTTTTTTGCCTTTTCGGGGCCGGGGTGGGCGTGGCCTACGCGTAACACATCCGGTCCGTATCCTACATAAGGCATTTGAAAGACAGTTTTGCAATGCAGTAATATGGTACATGTTTAAATGTTGTCCGTGGGGTCGCGATGGGTCGGACACGACTTCGCAATTAACAACAACAATACGGTACCTACAAACGTATGCAATAAAAGGGGCACATCTTGGGCTACAAAGCCTGTTCTGTCTCCCTTAGTGATAACGTAAAACCATTTCAGGGTGCCAGCCTGTACTTAAAATTGCCTCAAAATATATCCCATTGCTTTCAATGGATTTCAATTTCAGTTATTTCTCTGAATGGGAATGGATTCAAACAATGCCATAATTAATATATTGGTGCATTTTAATTTTATATGCATCTACATCAACATAAATCATTTTTATGCAAGTGTTTATAACATTCAGTAAGCAATGATCAGTTTTAAATCAATATTCTTCATTTTCCTTGTATTCAATTCTTTTTTCAGTATATTTTACTGCTTTAGGAATCCTTGTTAGGACTACAAAATGGTATCTATATACTACTATATGTTTTTTATATTTCACACAGCTGTCATTTGAGGATCTCCTCAACCTATTCATTCCTGTTTCACATGTTTATTTTGTGGTTCAGATCTTCACCAACCAATCTTAATGTTTTTCTTTTGTATTAGTCATTCACTTTGGGAATTAATCCACATTCATTCAGCACCCAATCATTCTTGATCATTCTTAATCTTATTTTCTCACACATGTACTGCTTAAATACGTCAAGTTCACTACATTCCCCTTTATGTTTCTTCTGGCATACCCCATATTCATAGTTAGGATCTTCTACTGGTATATAGGCATACCGAAATTATATTTGATCAAAGTTCTTTATAAGAGCAATGTAACTTTGTAGCTTTTATACTGGGCATTCTGGATGTAGGAGACCAGTAACTCACTGTAATCTGCTACCTTTGGAATTAATAAAATGATCATTTGTGTTCTCTCTGGTTTTTGATGTAATATAGCATAACAATAAATGAAAAATGTGGAAAAGAAAAGCATATATAAATCATTTGCATTTGTTTATTGTTTACAAATAAAGTATGAGAGAAAAATATAACTTTAAAACATATACATATTTACTTATTTATTTTGGTGCCACCCAACTCCAAGTGACTTGAGGCAAATATATATCTATAAAATATAAAATCACATACAGGTAATTGTCAGCTTACAACCATTTGTTAGTGATCATTGAAGTTACAATGGCACTGAAAAAAGTGACTTGTGACTGGTATTCGCGCTTACAACCATTGCAGCATCTCCCTCACCATGTGATCAAAATTTGGGTGCTTGACAACTAGTATTTACTTATGACAATCGCACTGTCCTGTGGTCATGGGATCACCATTTGTAACCTTCCTGGCCAGCTTCTGACAAACAAAGTCAATGGGAGAAGCCAGATTCGCTTAATGACTGTATAATTCATTTAACAACTGCAGTGATTCTCTTAATAAGTGTGGCAAAAGGGTTGTAAAATGGGGCAAAACTCACTTGATAACTGCCTAGCTTAGCAACAGAAATTTTGAGCTGAATTGTGGTTGTAATTTGAGGACTACCTGTACAACAAAACCAAACTATGTTATATTTTTTAAAAAGAAGAACAAGATGGCAAATCTGACAGACACTCCAAAACTTTCTACCAGTATCTAACATCCAGTGGAGCAGGCTCTAATCACTCTACTCCAAAGCCTAGGAAAACAACAAAGTCTATGGTCTTCTGGAATGCCAACAAGGTGGAAGGCACAGAAACTGACACAGAAGGTACATTTCCTGGATGTATTGCATTGTTTCTTCAAAGAAACCTGAAGAATGCTGACCCTGTCAGGCTAATTTGACCAAATAGATACTATGGAAAATAGACAGTGGTAACCAGGCCCTATTCCATGTAAGGCTTTATGTTGTATCTAGCATCTTGAATTGCAGTGAAAGTAAACTGGCAATCAGTTTGCAGAGCAGAGGTGTCACATGAACAAACCAAGGAATACCTCCTGATTCAGAAAAAGTACAACTGGTACACAAGATGAAGCTGTGCAAAGGCCTTCCTTCTCTCACTGCCCAACTTCTCACTGAATAGGAGTTGTAAGTTGATGGAGATCCCCAGGCGGTGCATCATCTTTGAATGATCAAAGATGGAATATCCTGGAACTAGGTGGCTTCAGTACCTGCAGCCACTCAATCTGGTAGGATTGAGTTGAAAATGTTTTTACCCCGTCTAGGCCAACATGCTTCAGATACTGGGACAGGACTTTGACAGCCTCTTTTGACCAACTGTCAGAACTGTCATCTCACTTTCAGAATGCAAGTACTGGGTTGAAAAACAATACCCTAATCCAGGGCTTTTTTTTTGTCATAGAATGCTCAGAATGGAGTTCTGGCACCTTTTTTGGATGGAAACCTTGTAGGATAGGCAAGGCAGGTTGTATGACATGTGTGAGTTCCGGCACTTTTTTTTTTTTTTTTTTTTTTACAAAAAAGCACTCCCCTAATCAAGAAACCACCAAGATACCCACTACCAACATTGGCAGGGCAAGCTATTGTATATAAACAGGGAGCAAACTCTATACTTAGTAGTGCTGATGATGTTACTTAGTTGGTTAATGAAATGTCTACAAGCAAACAACTAAGTTCAGAGAATACCAAGGACCTCAGAACTATTATGATAATTAAATATTGTGAATTTATATTTTGACCAATATTTCAGACCCTATGAAAATAATGCTAGAAAATTAGTTAGAAATTTAGTTCCACTGATAAAACCAAGATGCTATGAGATTAATTATAACAATTCTGTTCTGCAAACCAAATTTGATTCATTACTGGATATCTATTAGATCTGCAAAACAACAACATCAGTTCTCTTCTGCTGAAAATCACTGATCCAGGTTGTCTGTAAGAGAGTTGCACAATATAGTCAATAAGATATCATATACAAGATATTTCCTTGGCTATGAAAATAATTTTTAGCTTTTCAATCAGAAACAATTGAATGAAAAATTAGTAAAAAAAATTCAAAGCTCAGATGAGATAACTGCTGATAACTGATACTAAGCTACTGTATTTTTTTTTTTGCAAGTATGATCTCTGAGAGGAATAATACTGTTGTGTAAAAATGACTTTTTAAATATTTTCAATGCATCTTAGACTGCTGCACTCATGATTTCCAGCCAGCATGTAACACACATCTGGAGGATACTGGGTGGGGGAAAACTTAAGTAGCAAGAACATCGATAGAACCTGAAATATCTGAAAGAATTCCTCACTAAGTAGAATTTTAATGACAGTGTTTATGTCTCTCTGTATAAATTAGAACAATGTACCTGCTTCTTCACTCTCACTGTCTTCTTCCAGCCCTTCTCCAACAGTGCCATTTTCTTCTTGTTTAGGGAGGGCTTCATCATGGATCTAGCCTCATTATGTAAGATATTGCAAATTATAGACTATATTAGAAAGCAAATATTGTTTTTTCAGCAATCAATTGCAGCTATTTTTAATTAATGACTTTTTTCTCCTATAGAATGGGAGTATTTCATATATTTACTGTAAAATGCACTAGGTTTATTGACAAGCTTAAGTAATTACCTCGCTAGGTAGGGCCACAAACTTAACTTTGAATAGCAGCAGTGACTTAGAGAATTCTGCCAATAGCACCACCCCCGACCATACTAAATGTAATTAATTTAAATTTAATTAAATTTAATTTAAATGTAAGCTCTGAGACAGGGTTCAATCCAACATTCTGAACTACTACCAGAATTCAAGAGTTCCTATCCCATGATTCCTAGGAACTATAGCTCCAATATCAGCCACTATTAAAAATACCACTATTCTTCTAGACAAGAAGAATACTTTTTCAAGAATCTCCATTCCTTTCAAGGGTCACTATCATTCTAATGGTAATTAAATGACAAGACTTGTAATTACCACCACTCTCTCTGCTCCATGATCCAAGACTCTCTTTTCTGCTTGCAGCTGCTCCAGAATGGTTTTCTGTAACAATGGTGCATTTGCACCTCTTACAACAGCTACCAATTCTCCCCCCTGAATTCAAACAGAAAGGAGTGACTTTATTTTACAAACGCAGTTCATGTCAACACGCATACACTGCTATTGTCAATAGAAGACTTCTGATCTAATTTTACCGTTTAAAATGTGTTATTATAAACATTGAAAGAATTGCATTCTTAGTATGTACAGATATCAAATGAGGAAAAAAGTAAAATTTTGCAGACGATTGAGAAAATAAGGCAAGGAAAGAAAACTGAAGAATGTAAATCTTTTTTGTATTTTTTTTAAATGGCTAATATATAAATGTCTGCAAATTTAACTGGTGATAAATTAATTGACAATCTCATGATAAATTAAGCAAATTTATTTGAACCGGTTTGGTATAATGGTTGGGTTAGAAATTGTGACACCATGGGAAATTCTAGACCTCCTTTGGGTATGGAAACCAGCTGGGTAATATTGGGCCTATCACGCTCTCTCAGTACAATCTGACTCACAAAATTGCTGTTGTAGAGCAAAAACCAGGGGGAATTATTATGTATATCATGGGGAGTTGTAGAAAAATAAAAGTGGATATAAATCAAATAAATAAATAGGGATGTAATTCTGCATAAGAAATTCTTGACAAGCCCCTTATATTTGACAAAATAGTATACAAAAGCAACAGCAATAGTCAATGTAATAACTGTAAAATGTATTAAAATAATGAAATGTTATTATAACATAACATAACATAACATAATATAAAACATAATGTACAATTAATGCAATATCCCTGCTAGTGGGAGCTCTATGATATATACAAGTAGCTTATCAGGATAATACATATATGATGCTATGCTTTCCGGCTATAATATACATCTCTACATACAAATTAATGAGAATAATCAAATGAGCATGTTAGATATTTCTGGAAGTATATGTACTGTCTTAAACAAATCTGGCAGCAAGGTTTATTAGAAAAAATAATACTGATGGGAATATTGTCTAATGAAATTGGCCTTTGATACTAACTTACTCCATAAAACAGAAACGTTGGCTCACATTTTCCACGATATTTGTCTAGAGCATCAATTGAATCTACCTCAGCCTAAATGAAAAGCAGACAAGAAAACAGAATAAAATAAATGTCTGTAATTTCACGGCATTCAAAATTTGACATCCAGTGCAAGCAAGAAAATATTCCTTAATAAGCAAAAGCATGATTGCCTAGCATATTACCAATGCATTAGTGTGTCATGAAAGCACTTTTTAATGCTCTTCTGCTAAGTATACTGTTTTACTAATATATTGACTGTGTTTGTGCAACATATTGAACCACAAATAAGGTAACCATATTTAAACTACAATATTTGCACTGCATTTTGTGCATCCAGAAAATTTGATTAATTAAATTAATAAAATATAAGCATGCCATTCAGATAGCCAAATGGCTCAATTACAAGTGGGTTTCTGAATACAATTCAAAGTGCTGATGTTCATCTATAAAACCTTCATGGCATAGGATCTTAATTTTTTTAGTAGCACCCTCTATTTCGGTCTGTTCTAGACAATCTACAATACAATACAATACAATACAAAGTAGTCCTTGACTTACAACCACAACTGAGCCCCAAATGTCTGTTATTAAGTGAGACAGACACTTAAGCATTAAGTGAATTTTGCTTACCATCTTAACTTTTTTGATCCCTTCTGGGAATGCTCATGAATGCTCGTGGGATTTATTGACTGTTTTAATAGATCTGAAACTTTTTCTTACCACAGCAAAATGCAGCAGGTCACCACCAACTTCATTTCTTATTTTCTTGAAGAGATTGACAACTGTTTTACATGGTCCACACCAGCCTTGATAAGCATCTACTACTGCAAAGAAATTAACCTGTGTCAGCAGAAAGTGGCATGTCAGAATAATTCCAGAAATCAATCACATATCTAGAAATGAAAAGAGTTAATTATTATAATTGTCTGATAGAACTAATAAATGCCTACAGACACCCTTTTCTATTTGCTACAAGTTTTAGATAGGAAGTTGTTTTGATGGTTTGGAAGATACCACACAAAATACCAACAAATTCTGTTTCAACCCAAAGAAGCATTTATTTATTGATGTTCCTGCCTACAAATGGGTGTCCCCAAAGTGCTAATAGAATTGGAGAGTTGCCATTCAGGCTTAGCTATCGCTTGCTGTTGCCAAGGAAATTCTTCCATTTGTTAGCATGTTCATTCAGAGATATTATTGTGTAGCATGACTTAGCAGAGGTATGATTCATACTACAGTACTATAATGGACTGAACATTAATATTACTGAACAAATGAGAAATGAACCCCATAAAATAACTGTAATTCAAGATCTTACCAATCAATCCTTTGGACCCCAGAAATTCTTCCCAGTGTTCTTGATTACTGACAACCATCTGTGTGAAAATTAAACCACATTACTGAGAAACCCGGCAATAAAGCAAAATTGCTTTTTAAAGCATAGCTTCCTGGAGAAAGATTTGATGGGCTAATACATGAAAAAATGCATGTTTGTGTTACTAAAAACTACTTGCAGAAGATGAAGTCATAATTTAGTAACATATTAAAAAAATTCTTTGAACAAAAATGCAAACCGGTAATGAAGAAAAAAATCATTAGAAATGTTAGGATACATAACAAGAATATTTGTGAACCATTTTCTTGCTGGGTGCCAGAGTGTTATTGGAAAGTAAATATATTTAAGCTGATAGGCTGCAGAAAGATTAGAAATAGCCATGTCTCTGTTGTAAAAGCAAGAGATTAGTGCTGAATCAATCCAAATCTAAACTAGCAAATATTACATTTGACTTTATAAAATGTTATTTGCAGGTCACGTATTTCTGTTGTATTAAGGCAGCAACACAATTAAAATATAAAATAATGTATTTTAATCTGTAAAAGAACAAAATATTTCAGAAACATCACATGGAATGTAATGGCATTCAACATAAATAATAATAAAACATTTATTGTGTTACAAAGTTTACATTGCATAGTCGGATGTGTAGCTCTGCCTATGGAACTTTTAGTAAATGCTTGTTTGTCAATGAACACTAAATTGATGAAATAATATCTATCTCTGAAGTATAAATATTGCTAAGAAAATGTTTAGTAAACTTGAATACTAGAAAAAATATCAAAATCAAAACATGCTAATGAAATTACTGAAATTTATATCATATATGTAATTATCAAAATCAAATTATACATTAACTTATATTGCTATCAGAAACACAATATGCATGATAGAGTTGTATCAAAATTCTCACTGTCTTGGAAATTAAAGGTTTTTACTTTTTCTCAGCTTTCTCTGAGTTATTGACAAGTTTAAGCTAAGCATGTCCTGAAAAGGGCGAAACAGTTCAACTAGCCAACTTTTGATAAACTATCCTCCAAGAAAAACAGGAGAGAAAGAGTGACTGAAAGCATAGAATACATTTCCCCTTCCCAGAAGCCCTGCTTTCTATCCAGCAGCTAACCACCACCTCCTGCTGCTTACCTAACTGACTGGAGAGTCTATCAGCAGGAATTATGTGATAGAAGCAGGGGAGAGATTCAAACAATTTAACAACCGGCCCTAATGACTGTTTGACGTACGAAAAAAACGATATACCAAAAGGTAGTTTATTATTTCACGCATTTAATACTTAAATAAGAACAATAAAAGAGGTACACAAAACTAAACTATAAGAAAGAGTTTTTAAATATTAATGAAAAATATTAAATAATACCTGACAAAAACAATACGACTGTTATTTAAGATATTTCCATATTGCTTCTTGACTGGCATCCTCACTTACAATTTTCTTCGCTTTCATCAGCTGTGTCATTTATCCTTAACCATCTTTTCACTGTAGGAGTAGGACCCTGGTTTCGGCTGCGATTGTACCGGTGCCGCTGCTTGCGGCCACACACCACATCATGCCGATCTCGCCAGTGCCATTGCTTGTGGCAGGAGGCCATGCAGCACATCACATTGATCACACCGTGCCACTGCTTGCGGCAGGAGGCCATGCAGCGCATTGCACTGCTCACACCAGTCCTGCCACTTGCCCCAAACGGCCTGGTGAGCCTTGCGGCCTCTTGCAGCAAGCAACGGCACCAGAGCGATCGGTGCAAAGAGCCAAGCGGAGTCCTGCCATGACCAGTGGCAGCAGCACGATTGGTATGATGCGCTGTGTGGCCTCTTGCCACGAGTAGTGGCACTGACGCAATTGGCATGAAGAGCCATGCGGCGTCCTGCCACGAGCAGCAGCAGTGGCGCAATCAGCGTGAAGAGCCACATAGCATCTTGCCACAAGCAGCAGCAGGGGCGCAATCAGCACGAAGGACGTGGTGTCTTTCTGTGAGTGGCGGCAGCGGCACGATCATTGCAAACATCACCATGTTTCTCACTGGGAAGGAACTTTTGTTCAATTAATTTTGTTCTGAATAGAAAAGTTTAGTCTCAGATATTGCATTCTGAATATGGCGGATCACTTTAAGGTCACTAAGTAGCTGGCTCAGAGTCACCACAGAAAAATTCCACTAAAACCAACAGGTCTTCTTGGATAGAAATAGTTGGCAGAGTTGAAAAATAATCAATTTCTTCTTCTGGCCACATGATGGCAGGATTTATAGAGATTATATCCCTTATGGAATCATTTATATAAATAAAGAAATCACAAATATATTCCTATAACTCCATAATTAAATATTTCCAGAAGTATAGCTCTGTTACTCTGTTGAAGCAAAGCCAACAAAGAGACATGTGCACCTTAAAAAACTAATACATTGTATCATACCTTGTATTGACCATAATTTATCAGAATAAGATAACTGTAACATAGGGATGTTTATAATATAATCAACTTTTAATTTTCAAGATTCTATGTCACAATTTAAAGATGCTGTTTAAAATCGGTTTTTAAGCAGTTGAACAGCCTGGGAAAAGCTGTGGCTGCTGCTGACTAATGCAGGCAGAGGGCCTTCCACTAATTCTAATGCATCTTTTGCTTGATGCATTGCTCAGCCTAAATGTGTATCCGGATACAAATTTACTAAATGCCATCCGGAATGTTTCAGATATATTGTGGTACAGGTGGAAACAAACATTTAGAGTTATAAACAGTTTTTGATTATTTCACAAAATTCTCTAAAAGCCCATCACACTACTAGGTTTGTTCATCGTCTTAGCCTTCTCTTATTGTTCATCTTGTCTGGAATTGTTAACATGAGATATTAGCAGGTGGCATAGCAAATACATCTGATTTCATTTTGGGGAGGATTTTGAGGACTTGGAGAAAGCCACAATATTTGTGGGGACGAGTAATGAGGCATAATCAGATCCATACTAAGGGCATCTTACTTAAAGGGTTTGCAATAACTAAAACAAACCAGCAGGATTTTCTTCTTCACATTATTTTCATGAATAGCTTAGATGAATGTCAGAATGCATCTGTATTGGACTGATCCTGAATAATTGGCACGTGGGCCGGATTCACCCATATGTGCTAAAACACAATATGGTTTTGTTTAGCAAGTTATATGAACCCAGCGCAGTATGGTTTCATCAGTGCATTATGGCTAGGCAAGCCATGGCTTAACAAACTGGGTATACCAGACAAAATTCTCTAAATAAGAGTGTAGAACTATCCACCTCAATGACAGAGGAGTTTAAAGGACAATTTCTTTTTCATGAAGATTAAACTGAGCAAAAGATTATGCCTGCATTGAAATGAGAACATTGGTTAAACTACAATGCCCTTATTAGAATAATATCTACTTTTATTCTGCAAATTAAGTAGAAGTTTGTCAGCTATTTCTGCACTGCCATGATTAACATTAGTACTTGCATTTCTTTTCTGAATCATCAAATTAGTTTAAAAATTAATAACTTCATATTTAGAAATCTATAGTGTTCTGTTTTACAGCTACTGTTTTATATGTAAATTTCACTGGAAAAATATAGAAGTACTGGGACATTTTTGTCCTCTTCATACAAGCAGAAAATACAGAACAATTGCACTGGGGGACTAATATCTCATACTAACCTGCAAGGCAAATTCCTTCTTTCTGCTGACCATTATGCTGTAAAACAACCAAACAAAGAACAGGCATGACGTTATCTAATGTCCAATCTAAAATATCATTAATGTTCACTACTAATAAATGTAAACACATATAGAAATATATACTTTATTACAGGTAGTCCTCGACTTACAGCCATTCATTTAGGGATCCTGCTTCCCTGGGTTAAGTGTTCCCTTCCATCTGGAGACCTCATCATCACTGGATTTTTGCAGAAGTCTGCGTTTAAGTATGGTACTATCAAAGAATTGTGTGAATCCTCTGATAGCTCAGATTTCTCTAATTTTTATTCTATGACAGTAATATAACTTGCTGAAAAATCATCAGCCATTATTAGAAGAAGTAAACCTGGGAAGAAAGAACTAGAACTCCAGCTAGGAGTTTAATCTTCATGCCCTAACCTCAATTTTAGTTATTCTTGTGTCCAGCCTGAAAGGGGTATTCAGTGTTCTTTGGATGCAATAAATATGGACCTCAGAAATTTGATAAATGTTATCATTGGTACAAAACATCCACAGCAGCACGTATAGTATAATGCTGTGAACACTTGCTTAGAATTATGTCTCACTCTGTTAAAGGGACTTTCTCTCTCTTAAATATACTTTGGCCTAGCAGTTTTTCTATTTAAATGCTGTAGCAATAGCCATTATACCAAGTCTGATGAGTAATAGGCCTGCCACATTTACAGTCTTACTTATTTTCTTATGTATTTTTTATGATATTTATCCCTTTCAATCTGATCAAATCTAGGCAGTTTACAAGTCAAAATACAATAAACAATAACCATAAAATAGTATAATAACAGTATCAGAATATTGCTACAAACCTCATAGCATGCTGCTTTTCACCCAGGCAACAATAATAAGCCATCTTTATCACTGAAGGCCTTTTGAAATAGTCAGAGGAGCATAATAAAAGGGGCTACATTTGCCCCTGGACAACTTGTTCTGCAGGAGGATGAGAATGCCCCTATGCTCCATCCCACCAACATTCCTAATAGGTGGGGACCTTCAATTGGATCTTTGTTTCCAGACATTGATTGGGTAGATTCTATCTTGATAATATCCAAATCAGCTATATATGACTGAAAGGAGAGTGGCACCAAATATATTAGATCTTATATACAAACATGTATGCATAATATTGCCACTTTAATTAATTAGTTTAATATTCCCATAACCAACTTAATACGTTTTCCTCTGTTAATCAATTTGTGAATTTTTCTTAAGCATTTATTTTTAATTGTATAATCTATATAATCTGCAAAATCTCTAAGAAATATTCCCATAATAGAAAACCCATTTATTCAGTCTCTTTTAAGATAGGGTGCTCCAAATATGGCTTTAATAGTGCAACTGTTCTCATCTGTTTATAAACAGACTGAGTTTTATGGGGTTATTTATTTATTTATTGTTAATACTAGTATGAAAAAAGTATCCTGAAACATCTGTTAAGACACCAAATGCTCCTGAGGTTTTGTGAGTTCCATATTATTTTTTGATGCTTATCAGTTGCTTACCAGAATTTTAGTTTATTGACTGACCTAGGATAAATTAGTGGGTGGATGATCCAGGGGGAGTTAGTAAAAAAGAAAAGGAACTATTTTTAACAGCTGCCATTGTTGCCTGCTGTCTCATTTTCTTTTATGAGATGATGTGTAGAACTGGGCTAATTACAGTCCTGAATTAAATATATTTTTAGCCCCATTCACCTTCTTAAGAGTCTATTACTGTAATTAGTCCAGATCCCCAAATTTCAAATAAAAAATAGCAAATTTCTAGCCATTATTAGAGATATGTGAGAAGCTGTATAGGCACTAAGCTACCACAGTTTTATAAAACTGCAGCAACTGTTGCTGTTCCTACTTTATGTATGTATGTATGTATGTATGTATGTATACACATACAATGACAATAAAGTTTATAATAATGTATGTTAGCATGATATATTTACTCATGATTCATTTTACTTCACAGCATACACTAAGCCATGGTTGGTTTAACAGTATATGGAAGAAACCACAATTGACTAAGTTTATACAATACGCTGAGCTGTAAATCATGATTTTCAAACTAGGAATTTAATCTCCATGTAAAATCACAAATAAACAACACATTAGCTACCAGCCCTGAGAATTGCTGTGTCTACAGATATGATGAACCATCAACTAGCTGACCATCAGTGTGTTGCACAAACTTAAAAAGTAGATGAATCAAGAAGACCATGGATAACTATCATGTGAATATACATCTTGAATGAATTATTGAGAAGCAAATTGAATGCCTAGAGAGACAGAAATGGATCTTTGCCAGATAATGATTGGAGGTATCCTCAAGAAATTTCATCTCCCTCTTCTCTATAGTTTTAAGAAAGGTGAGGATATAAACTGATATCACTCCTCTTCTATAGGTGAATAAGTATATTAGGTGAATAAGTGGACTATAAAAGTATAGGTGGAAATTAGGTTGAAATGTAAAGTGGAAGAAATTCATATAATTGCAGGAAGAACAGATTAAGCCTGGATTGATTTGACATTCTGACTAAATAGACTGTGTATCCAATTTATACCTAGTATATTATCCAAATATGTTATGGTTCAGTGTTCAGTTTTACACAAATCCAGAAAACTGGGTTGAGCAAATTGTGGCTATGTTGATCATCAGCGAATTTGAAGAATTATCAGAGAACATAAAGTAGAGGTTCATCAAGACCTTTCCTCCCTAGCAATAATATAACTCACCCATTGGTTCTTGACCTCTTACTCTAACCTGGATGCCAACAAAAATGCTTTGTCCTCACTAATTTGTGTTTGTTAGGAAGAGAATATTGTGGTGTTCTGACAGACCAACGAGTAGCTCCTGGAATATATTTCCCACCCTTTACCTTAAGATATAAGACATTTCTTGGGAAATCCACCAATAATTGACCAAGGTTAAACTGATCAAATAAATGCAGTAGAGGAAGCTCAAAAAAGTTACTTTGAAAAATAGCAATTTTAGTTCTGAAGGAACTGTCAGATTTTATCTCAGAACCATTGCACCGTATCTTTCAAAAATCCTAGAGCACCAGAAGTATCTGAGGATGGGAAAAGAGCTGATATGGTTCCCATCTTCAAGAAAGGGAAAAAAAACAGACCCAAGAAACTACAGACCAATCAGTCTAACATCAATACCTGGGAAGATCCTGGAAAAGATAATCAAAAAACAGATCTGCAAACAACTAGAAGCAAAGTCAGAACCAGTAGCCGACATAGGTTTGTTAAAAACAGTTCATGCCAAACCAACTTATTTCATTCTTTGATAAAGTGACCAAATTAGTAGACCAGCAAAACGCTATGGACATAGTATACTTAGATTTCAGTAAGGCATTCAACAAAGTAGACCACAATCTATTGCTTGGTAAGCCAGAAAAAGGTGGAATAGACAATATCACACCAGATGGATCTGTAGGTGGCTGACAAACTGTACTCAACGAATAGTCCTCAATGGTACTAGATCCACATGGAGAGAAGTAAGCAGTGGGTACCACAAGGCTCGGTATTAGGTCCAGTACTCTTTAATATCTTCATAAATAACTTAGATGACAGGATAGAAGGAGAAGTCATCAAATTTGCAAATGACACTAAACTGGCAGGAACAGCCAACACCCCAGAAGACAAGCTCAGAATTCAAAAAGATCTTGACAAACTGGAACAATGGGCCCCATCCAACAAAATAAGTTTTAATTTGGAGAAAAGCAATGCTTTACATTTAGGCAGGAAAAATCAAAGATATAAGTACAGATTAGGTGAGACCTGGCTCAAAAACTGTAACTGTGAGAGGGACCTTGGAGTCCTAGTGGATGATCACTTGACTATGAGCCAGCAATGTGCAGCAGCAGCCAAAAATGCTAATACAATCCTGTGTTGTATAAACAGAAGCATAGAATCAAGATCACGCAAAGTATTAGTACCGCTTTATAAAACCCTAGTGAGACCACACCTGGAATTCTGTAACCAATTTTGATCACCATACTACAAAGAAGATGTTGAGACCTTGGAAAACTTCAAAGAAGAGCAACTAAGATGGTCCAAGACCTGGAGACTAAAACATATGAAGAACGGCTGCAGGACTTGGGTTTAGCTAGTCTAAAGAAAAAAAAGAAATAGGGGTGACATAATAGCAGTATTCTAGTATTTGAGAGGTTGCCACAAATTATTCTCCAAAGCACCAAAGGGAAGGACAAGAAACAATGGTTGGAAACTGATCAAAGAGAGAAGCAACCTGGAATTAAGGAGAAACTTCCTAACAATGAGGACAATTAACCAGTGGAACAGCTTGCCTTCAGAAATTGTCGGTGCTCCATCACCGGGTTTTTTTTTTAAGAAGAGACTGGACAGTCACTTGTCTGAAATGATATAAGTTCTCCTACTTGAGCAGGGGGTTGGACCAGAAGACTTCTAAAATCTATTCTATTCTATTCTATTCTATTCTATTCTATTCTATTCTATTCTATTCTATTCTATCCTATCCTATCCGATCCTATCCTATCCTATTCTTAGTAGAAAAATCTGACTACAATATTTTCCAGAATGGGGCAGATTTATATAGATTGCTTAAAATGTAGGCAAGAAATGAGACAGGGCTAATTCTGTCTGATCAAGGGTGATCAGGGTCTTCTGATGGCAATATAAAATGGTTGTGTGGTTTTGCAGAATAAGTAGCTATGAAGTGTTCTTTTTTTCAGAGCTATGCAATCCTAACTGTACCAGGAGAAAAAGGCACAAAAGATTAAGAAGCAAAAGCATAAAAAAGAAAGGTAGATTTGAAATATCAATTCTTAGAATGGCAAGAATTCAGCATAATGTACCTGTTCAAGGATTTGGCAACTGCTCCCAGGCAAACAACAGCGTCTCTTGTCACCATAGCAACACGGGAGGCAGAGGGGAATCAGTTCTGACAAGCGTTCTTTCGCCTATCTGCTATTGCTGGTTGTTTCCCCCTTTTTGTGCAGTCAGATGACATGCTGTCTTCTGTTCCTCAACTGGATGGAAGAACTGAAGATCAGGAACAAATCTTACAACTGGACTACATTTTGGGGATACCAGATAACTAGTGCTTTGACATTAAATGTGTGCTTTCTAAAATGGCAGGACTGGTGAAGATAATGAAATTGATCAGTGATCCTCAGTTTTTCCAGTTTACCTGCATCAAGAAAGATAAGGTGATTGATCCCTTTGGACATTGATTACTTCTCTATTTCAGAGCATTATTCTTCAAGGATTATCCTTTGAAATTTACTAAATGTCTGAGGGTGTATATGATTTTGGAAATTAATGCTCAGAGCATTTAAAATATAGGAGTAAGAAGAGAGAAGAATCCTGTAGTCTATCATTATTTGTCAGTTTATAATTAATGTATATTTTTACCAAAGAGGAAATATATTATAATTTATTAGCCTGTATGTATATAGGATTGTGGCATAAATAGGTCATGCAGGGGAGAAGAACCTAAGCACTTTTTAATATAGTACACTATACAACTCTGTTAACAGTCCACCATTGGAAATGAATGATGAACACTCAATCTATGAATTTCAGATCAAATTATTGGCAATAGAAAATGCCACATCACCTTGAATTTTGGTTCTGTTCTTGTATCAAACATCTATAGTGTCCAATACAAATTTTACTGGATCCTTCATAAATATGTATGAATTGTGCTAGGTAGGCCAAAGGCTCACCTAGACCAGAATTCTGATTTTACAGAATAAGAGAGGCTTGTGGAAAGATCACATGCAAGGCAGGAACATAATACACTCCCTGTCATGTTCCATTCCTAGCTGATAATTGATTTTGGGAGATACAGATAGAATAATATGCTCTCTTAGCTCCTAATTTAGTCTGGCTAATGGAAATAAATTAGAGACCTAGCTCCTTCTGTTTCAACACTTATAGATGGCAATTATAATACCACTAGTGAAATATCATTATCATAATAAAAGGTAAGATTACCTTTATTGTCATTTTTTGTGTGAACACACTGGTACACATTAAAAAAATGAAATTCTGATGCCGTGTGTGTGTGTGTGTGTGTGTTATATGTAATATTATATATACACATACATGCGCACATGCACATACATATATACATATATACATGCACAAACACACACACACATATTAATCACAGTCCATTTTGAATACATAGCAGAAAAAGAGTCTTGAGAGTTAACAAGATTGATACCATATGGTATAAAGTTCTTACCGAATCTAGTTGTTCTGTTTTGGATACTGCGAAACCTCCTCCCAGAAGGTAACAAAGAAAACTGATCAGAGAATATGTAACTGGAGAGAACGTGTAATGTCCCTGACAATACTATAGACCCCCAAATCGCTTATATGCTATACCCTGGATAGAAGGAAGTGCACTTCCAATAACCTTTTCTGCTGTCTTCACCACTCTCTGCATAGCCTTCCCATCCGAAACAGTAATATATCCAAACCACACAGTAATATAATACAGCAGGATGTTTTAATCATCCATCTATTGAAAGTGGTAAGAATAAGGGAAGGAAAATGTGCTCTTCTCATACTACGCAAAAAATGCAGACACTGCTGTGCCCACTTCACCCAAAAACTTGATACTACTAACCATCTCCACAGTTGAATTGTTAATACACAGAGATGCCTGGCATTTCTGAAATTGACAATGATATTTGTATCTTTTTGTATTCATTTAATAATATTTTTGATATTTGGAATATTACCTAATCTATAAAACAGTTTAATCCTTTTGAATTGGTGATAATCCATGTCAAACTGCTTTAATTCCCTTGATGGATGTCCTATCCTGCAAAAAGAAATTTATTTAATTACTGAACTATTCCAGTTTTTATCCTGCCTTCCTGTCCTAATGAACTTCATACAGTTAACTTAAAATATTGAACATGATATTTTTAACTTAAGTTTTGACTTAAAATATAAAACATGAAAACTAAATAAAATTGTTAACATTATAATTAATGCAAATTCTTTAAAGGCCTGGTTGCTATACCTTCTGAACATATGGTTTGATTCTCCAGGTTGTTTTAGAGTACTTGTTTTTGAAACAATCATGTTGGCAACACAGAGACAGGTGTTGAGCAGTGTTACCTACTTATTCTTTACTGGAAAGTTCCGTTATTCTTGTATCCAATCTTAATTTTCCTTTATCCATTTACAATTTTTAGAATTTTGAAGCAATTTCTCATCATTAGGTATATGAGAATATATTTCTGCTTTTTCCATCTGAAGCCTGTGAGAAAGTCTTTCCAGGGTTCTTTTTAAGATTGAAAATGGATTTTATGATAGTGATACAGACTATCTATTCGTGATGGTCTGTACTAAGAAAAAAAAAGACATCGTTGGTATTTATTATAAAATCAAATGATAGGATACAAAATCTTACAATATTGTATAAATTGATTAAGCTTCATAAGTCTTATAGGCTGCTAGAAATTGCTTTTTTTAAAACCATCCTTTATTTAAAAAAGTAAAACCAGATTCATATAATTTGCTGGATATTTCATTCTGATACTTTTAGAATTGGCATTTCAGTGGAAAATGTATTTATTTCAGGCACCTCAGGTAACTTTGTCTTAGTATTAGTTCCCATACTTCTGGGCCATTGTGTATTTTTGTGAGGGAGTATGTAGCTGATATTTTTTATCTATTGAGCACCTACACACACATTCAATCAAAAACATTCAGATGGGATAAAATAGAGACTTGAAATATTGGAATTACAATAACATAGAAGTATTAGGTAACATAAAACTTTTCTTCCAGTCAAGCTCAGCTGCTAATGCTTTCTTGGCAATAGTGTGGAAATGGTTTAGTACAGCCTTTTTCAGGGATAGTTTTTGACTTCTCAGACTATAGCCCTGGTATTTGCTGGTCATCTCCATCAAAACTAATTGGGCCAAGCCCAACACAGCTTCTGAGCACAATAAGGTCATTCATGTCATGTCATTTGTGGATCATATAATCACAATCAGAATTATCAAATGTTTGAATTATTCATCCCACATAATTATGTCAAATATTTGATCATTGTAATCCTAAACACATTTTTTTACGAAATAAACCCATGTTACAAAGTTGACATGGTTTTCATTAACATCAACTGTCTTCAGACTACATTCATTTTTTTCCTTCGCAATTATAATTTTTCTGGTCTTGAATTGAGTCCTAAAATGGTAACTTGTGTTTATCTGTTCAAATACAAAATTGCTCATTATCTCTACATACTTAGAATAGCCCCCTGCTCTGGCAAGAAACCCTATACTATTTCAGAAAATGGTTGTCCAATATCTTCTTAAAAACTTCCAGTGTTGGAGCATTCACCGCTTCTGGATACAAGTTGTTCCACTGATTGTTCTGTCAGGAAATTTCTTTAGTTCTAGGTTGCTTCTCTCCTTGATTAGTTTTCATCCATTGCTTCTTATCCTTCCCTCAGGTCCTTTGGAGAATAACTTGACTAGTTCTTCTTTGTGGCAACCCGAGATATTGGAACACTGCTATCACGTCATCCCTCACCCTTCTTTTCATTAAACTAGACATACCCAATTCCAGCAACTGTTCTTTATGTTCTAGCTTCCAGTTCCGATTATCTTTGTTGCTCTTTTCTGCACTCTTTCTAGAGTCTCAACATCTTTTTTATATCCTGGTGACCAAAACTGGATGCAGTATTCCAAGTGTGGCCTTACCAAGGCATTGTAAAGTGTATTAACACTTCACGTGATCTTGATTCTATCTCTCTGTTAATGCAACTTAGAACTGTGTTGGCTTTTTTGACAGCTGCAGCACACTGCTGGCTCATATTTAAGTGATTGTCCACTAGGACTCCAAGATCCCTCTCACAATTACCGTGTTTCCCCGAAAATAAGATGGTCTTTTTTTTTTTTGCTTCAAAGAGGCACCAGGTCTTATTTTCGGGAGGAGGTCTTCCACTCACCTTGCAACGGTGGCATTAGGTATTACTTTGGGGAAAACATGGTGCTACCATTGACCGAGGTACCACCAGTATTGTACCTGTGTATTTGGGTTTTCTTGCCTAAATGTAGAACCTTACTTTTTTCACCACTGAATTCATTTTGTTAGATAGTGCCCAATGTTCAAATCTGTCAAGAACCTTCTGTATCTTAAACCTATCTTCTGGAGTGTTGGCTATTCCTGACAGCTTGGTGTTGTCTGTAAATTTGATGAGTTCCCCATCTATCCCGTCATCCAAATCGTTGATGAAAGTGTTCAAAAGTAGGACTACATTTTATTTTAAAAAAGAACTGCAGGTACACAATTCAGATGTTATATTTAACAATGAACCACATACCAAAGATCAAAGACAAATTCTATATAATTATTTCTATAATTATAAGTAAAGGAATAAGATTGTTATGATTTATTTCTATTCCACACCAAGATTACTGTGTTATTTTAAATATAGAATAAAATTATGTTTTCTAGATTCCAAGGATAAAAAAGTAAAGACTCCATTGAACTGAGATTAGTTCTTGATGATTATATAGATATACCATTTTCATAGCAAAAACTGCCTACATTAATCTTTGGCACTTTCTGTATACTAAGAATATTATTTTCATAATTTTCACATTTTTGAACATTTTTCACATATCATAAAAAGATATTTTCATATATCTCTACTGAACTGTATTAGGGATGACTTGATGTCATGTATCTCAGCAACAAATTGTGATATGCTGTTAATAGCACTATACACACAAACACAGTCATATTAATTGTATTCTGCACTACATAAAAATACAATAATTTTGTATTCATTTAACGGAAGAATCTAATATTTCCTGGTAATCTTGTTTTTTAAAATTTTTCCAAGATAGCTTATAACATGCAAGAAAAATTATGCTAATAATGATAACTGCTCCTCCAATTATATCATAAATACTGGGGAAGATGTGTAGTATAAGAAGTTGAAGAATCATGGCTATCAAAATCTCCAAATGTTGCACTGTGCTAACCAATGCTGGATGGAATTTGCTCAACGCATAATAGACCCCAAGAAAAGCCACTGTGGAACATATACAGATGCCAAAGAGATAGCTCCAGCTTTCTCCATTCAATGGAATTATTGGCTCTTGAAGGAAAAACATAGTTGAGGCTCCCCATATTGTTCCAGTCCAACCAAAACTAAATAATGCTGTCCACATGCTGACATTATCCTTAAGGGACCTATATACTATCATGGACAGAGCTGTGGTTAAGCCTGCCATAACTGTCATTGTATATCCAAAAACTTCCTTCCAGGTATTCAACAGAGAATTTTCTTCATCAACAATGTTGGGGATCATGACCAAACAAACACCAAAGATACTACTCACTACAGTAATTACATCAATATAAGCCATGCGCTCATCCACTAGTAAAAATGCTAAAATGGCACTGAAAACAGTGGTGGTAGCTCTCCACATAATAGTCCCATTGCTTGGAGGAACAATTGCAAAGGAAGTATAAGCACAGGTAATAGAAATAACATTACATACTCCATAGAAGAATAGCCTCAATCTATGGCCTTTTGGTCCAAAAGGGTCTTCATGGTAATAGCACACTACTAAAACAGAAAACACTTGTAAAACAGAACGAATGAAAATCAGTTCAAGAGATGGCACTTTGGAACGATCGGCAGCAAGTCTAGTTATCACAGCTACACAACCATGGGCCAAAGCAGATCCAAAAAGCACAGCCCAAGTTTTTCTGGACTGAAAAATGCTTCTCTCTATAAAATCTTGGCCTTGTTCATTCTTGTTGACTTCTAACTTCTGTTCCGTCTGAAATGGAATGTCAATTGTTCCAAAGAAAGATTTTCCTGTTCGTTGTCCATCACTCAACAATCTTCTTTTTGGATTATCTTCTGTAAAACTCTCATTATCTTCACTAGGTTCCTCATGCTCTTCTTCTCCAGGCTGTGGATAATAAGAACTATATTTCACTGTCACAGTGTCAGGATGAATTTTCACTCGTTTTTTCACTGGATATTGTTTGGAAGAATCCATTTCACCAGATAAGAAGGACTGATTGCAAAGAAAAACATATATTTATATACTTGATAAAATTGTCGCACATCTTGACTATTTAGAATAACCCTAATTCATTAATGTTCTATTACCATATGAGATAAATGGAAGTATTTTTAGAAGAAATGAAATGTCTCATTCTAAAACCCAATATAGTAAATCAATTGTAAGGGAAGATATCTGTCTCAGGATAATAAATGTATTTGTTAATTTGGGGGGGGGGGTCCCTTCATGTCAGTATTGACATCTGGTGACTGAAAAAGCTTCTGCAGTTTTCTTGGCAAGATTTCAGGAATGCCTTGCTATTGCCTGCTTCCTAGGGTTGAAAGAGAGTGACTGGTCCAAGGTCATCTAGAACTCACGATCTCCCAATTTCTAGCCTGGTGCCTTAACCACTTCACCAAACTGCTAATTTAGACAACTTAAAACATAGGCTTGATGTTTATCTTTCTTGCTGAATCTACATTTATTTTTATGCTTCCAAATATTTTTAGAATGATTGAATCTGATGAGCTTTTAAAATCTAATTACCATTAATTTTGCTTTGAATCTGAATATAAATCAGTTTTATACATGTATGTAACAGCTCAGATGGTGCCACTAAACGTATTTTGACATAGGATTGTTAAATATATGTAACTGGATTGGGAGCAAGTAACAAACAATATTGTATATTTACAATGGCTTCTTGAAAGAATGTAGATTATTCTTCACATTTAAAACATGAGAGTTGGATCAAACTAAAGACTTAATCAGTGCTGGATCTTGTTTCCCATCAGTGACTTATGGTAAACATAAAACAGATACTTTTCACTGTTTTCCCAAATGTTCAGAAGCATGCTGTTTTATATTCTAAGAGGGCAGCATATATCAGCTAACAGCCATTGATAAAGGGGATACATTTAAAAATGTCCGTTGTGCTCCAATATTATAGGTTATTTGAAATACTATATGATGTTCTTGCCCCTATGTTAATACAGTCATCTATTTAGCTTCTAAAAATGTGAAATATACTAGTCACTAGGTTCCATTCCTTCTCAACTTGTTTTCACACCAGGTAATAGCTTTAGCAGTGATAGCTTTTCCAATATTTGTGGTGCTGATCTGTGCTTCCAACTACTATACTTTCAGTTTGAAATGTTAATATAAATCAGATTGTGATTTAAATGAATTCCTTTTAATTGATTAATAATAATTTTAATCTATTCAAACCCAAGCATGATTGTTTATAATTGTGAAATATTTACAAGGGATGTTATTAGAGTATTATGAAATGCTAAAGAAGTAAGAATCAGGAAGAAAAAATATGCTAATCTATCAACTGAAAATGAAGGGGAAAAGATACACTGTAAGCTATGCTAATTTACGTTTCATTAATTCTTCAAATAACAGAAACATGATGTTCCTTGTAGCATATGGAACATAATTCTAGGCTGTATTAGCTGATTACTGCAATTTATTTAAATTATGATAATTTTCTGTGAAATCTTTTCAGTTTGAAAGCTATCTCTTTAAAATTGCATGCACATTAATAGAGGCAGAAAGATTTTGCTTAAATAAACATGCAGTGACATTTAGGAATTAAATTTGTAATGTAAGAAAAGAAAGCAGAATACAATCAAAATTGGAAAAATAATCTTTTACCTTTTGTTAGAGGGTGTTGTATAGCAAAATAACCAAAGGCCAAATATATTAAGGATAAGGAAGCTGCTCTGCAACGTTCAGCCGTGTGTCCATTTCTCCCTTCTAAATTCGTAGAAAATAGACCTGGGTATTTGTTGCCTTTGAACTGGAAAGTCAAAAATAGAGCAAATGATGTCAGTTCTGGGTATACATTGAAGCCGTAGTATAGATCTTTTTGCTATTCTCACATCTGCCTTCACAGAAAAAGAGAGGAGAATACAACTAAAGAATCAAATGCACTGAAGACATTAAGATGAAAGTGAGCATGCTCAGCAGAGCTCAAGGGCATTTGACAACACCTTCATTTTGGACTGCGGAATGGAATCAGTATTGCTTTTACTAGTTATTCTGGCAGTGAAACACATGTTTAGCTGAGATGCTACCTATTTATCAATAGCAAGGCTTTCCTAAACTAAACATTGTTGAGAATGATTGAAAACAAAAGTGCTTAAGAAAGTTACTGATTTGTCCCTCCTGGTCAGTTTGTTAATAAGTAAATAGGATGATTCAATAGTCTTTTCTTGCTATAGCCTTACCAAAAGCAACAGGAGTATATCAAAATACTATGAGGTAATTAATCTGGATCCCTGCAAAAAAGCATAATCTTAAAGATTGACATAACTTTCAAAATATCGTGCATGAAAAAGCTACCTACCCTTGATTTTCATTTACCTCTTCATATACAATTATTCATCATTTGTTATTAACAACCTTATACATATAAGTCTATGCAAAAGTACCACAATTCAGTGGGTTTACTCTTCCACACATATATTTTAACCTCTCAGTACAATACAAAGCTGTGATTTGGAAACTGGTAAAATCAAACATTGTTTTTAAAATTATTTATTTAAAACTTTTCTATAGTTTTTTGTTGAAATAAATATCAGAAGGATTTACTATTAAAAATTACAAATATACTAAAACAAAGCAGTAAAACATTTTATTAAATAACAATAACTAGTTACAATAGCAAAACGTAAAAATTGTAAAAAAAAAAAGTCACAATTGCATTTAGCACATTATCAGGTGGCCTTGAAGAACAAGAATTCGAGGCCTGGTATTGTAAGACAGTAAGAATGGCTCAGGACTTATTGGGGAGGGGATTCCAAAGTTGGGGTGGTACCACCCATGAAAAGGCTTGACTCTGAATAGCCACTGACTGCATGTTCTTTGAAGATGATCTTAATTTATGGGTTGGAAAATATAGCAAGAAAACAAAACACAGTTTTCCTTCAAAGACTGTGGTCCAAAGCCATTAGGGCACAATAGGACGGGAGCACAAAGTGATCATAACACAAATTCTGCAATCTAAGTAGTTAAATTCAGATATTAGAACTCAAGTACACATGGGCAAAGTACACACTGTAACATCATGTTCACATTTTCCCATCACTGTGACTTGCTGCACATGCCTATGGTCCCCGACTGCTTTAATATGCTATGCAATCCCAGAAACTGTGATCTGTTCAATAAATAAGCTTTATCTCAGGTTGAGTGAAAACAGCCCTTTTCAAGAAAACCTGAACAGCTTAATTATTCCTTCTTTCTTCTTTTAAACTGCCAGTCCTGCATCTAAACCCACTAGTTACAAGATCAGACAGCAACCCTGGACTAATAACTGCTATACTTCTACCGATACGGTGTCTCAATAGCTTTTTTTTTTACAAGTTAATACACAATATTTCTCCCAACACACACATAGTGGATTTAAAATGAATCAGGCCGTCCTTTCTGCAGACAAACGGTCCTTCTGAACGTTCTGTTTGAGCAGAAGGCTGGACTAGAAGACCTCCAAGGTCCCTTCCAGCTCTATTCTTCTTTAGAAGAACATTTCTTTTCTCTTTTCTTGGTCAGTTGCTAATTATAATCACAAAAATGGCAGCAATGCTCGCTACACAGCACAAACTCCGCTACAGCCTCAGGATAGTAGAGGGAGGGAAGCCCAATACATCTGGAAGAGGTCAGGTTGGGAAGAATATGAGAATAAGCCCACTTGTTGGAAAGCTAGGATCTTCTGAGGTGTTAATCCGTCATCTTTTATAGCTAATTTCCAAATTCAGATCCCAAAGGGCGCGAAGCAAACCAATTACAGCCCGCACCGTAAGAGAGCGAGGCAGGGTCAAGGAGGCGGCCGTCCTCTGGAGGAAAGAGCGCATGCGTCTTCCCAATCCACTCAGTCATGGCTGCTTTGCGGGCGCTTCCTTCTTTCCTTCCCTCGAGAGTTCTGTTGAGAGGTTGCCGCTCGTTTAGCAACAGCAGCAGCAGCCACCGGAGCCGGACCGTCGCCGTACCCGAGCGTATCCAAGAGAAGCGTCGCGCTGCATTGCTCGGAGGCGGTCAAGCTCGCATAGACGCGCAACACAAGCGGGTGAGCGCCTCCTTTCCTGTAGCTGCAGGCGAACGAAGCCCTTGCGTGGCCCGTGGCCGCTGGCTGCTCCCTGGCGTGCCGTTTCAGTGATTTCCGCGGAAGGTTCTGGCCTTGGCCAGTGCTAAGAGGATGCCACTTGGGGACCATTGAAAAGTCATGGCCTATAGTCCTCCCCCCACCCTGCTGCAATTCCTCCCGCTCTCCGGCTGAGTTAGAAAAGATTCCGACACCTTCGACCGCCATAGCCGCCGACTTCTCTATCGCGGTGATGATCAGGATCGTCTCTCTTGTTTTTTCTATTTAATGAAAACTACGGATACGAGGAAGCAGATCGCCCCGTCCAGTTAGCAGTTTGTAGAGTTAGTGTGGGAGGTCAAGAAGAGGTCCAAAAAGGCCACCTTCCACCTTTCTCACGCTGTATTTACAAAATCCCGATCTCTAAATCTAGCAATTATTGAGGTGTTTGTAATCTTAATTGAGTAGAGCTTCAGTTATCCATCAGACTTCGTCTTTCCTTTCTCAGAATTAATGCAACACAGGCAACAGATAGCTTGCTTGGTAAGGCTAGAGAGTAATTATGATTGAAAAGTCCATGTCCTGCAGAATCTTCCGAACACCCCTGTGTTATGCTTGCAGTTTACTTTGGAACTGGAGATGCATAATGTTGGCAATGCAATACAAATTAAATTAAGTAAATTAAATATTGTAATGACTACTAACATTATTGCCTTTTAACAGTTATTCATACAAGACACATAAGATTATTTAATCATTTTAGCCAAACAAAATCTTGTTGATTAAATAAAAAACTTCTTGACTAGCAGGTGCTGGACACAGACTGGCTATTGTGATCAGATGTGTCTGGCAGATCATTCCTTGAGATAGAATGGATGTATGTAATACTAAACTATGATTTACCCCTACCTTCATAAACACCTTTAGGCCTTCCTGTTTCCTCAATTCTTGGTGTCCTTCTCTCTTTTGAACCTGAATGAGAAGTACCTGAGTAAGGTAAAGTGTGTTTACTATTCTTAGTGCACAAGGTTAGCTTACTTAATTTGTCATCTTTTTCTCCTGTGAGGAATGCAGAAAGACAGAAGCTCTAGGATTTTCCATACTGGCCTGTGTGACTCCTTTGTGTAAACTTACTGCAAATAAAGCTGGCTAAAGAAATGCCTTTCCAAATTTTAACTTCTTCCTGTTCTTTGATCATAATAATACTGTAACTTTCTGACAGGGCTATCCTTACTTTGTCCCCAGATCAATAGATTTCCTGCCTCTTTACTTTTCTCCTTTTTGCTGGAAGAGCAAACACCAATTGCTTTTCTTTGTGCGGGTTCTTTGTATGAGCTCTTCTTATTTGCTGTTGTGGGTTCACATCTTTCTGTCTGATGCATCCACTGGTAGGTAAACAAACAAACAAACAAAACACCCAATAATTTTACTGTTGTCATTTTAGCCAGAAAGGAAAGAAGCAAAATTTATGTTAGTTTCACCTGGTTAAAAGAAAAAAAAAACTTGATTTCACTGTTCCATCAGTGAACATGTAATAAATAAATCTGCCCTTTCATTCTGACAGACTTTGATTCTTTTTCTATCAAACTAATAATTAAGCTGGTGGGACTGAAAATAACAAAATATAAGTGGGAGCAAAGATGACGGAGAGAAAGCTCACTGTTTATCCACTTCACCCTATTACATGAAGAAAAAGAAATCATGTCTCTAGTCAAGGTCTCTTCAGAAGGGCACAGCAGCCTGTGGAAAAATTGTAGTGAAAGGCACTAACCCGTGATTGGAGGGGAGGAGACATTCCTGCTATAGCATGCAGTAGCCAGTTGGAGTGGAAGTGCTTGCCTACAGTGAAATGAAATAAAAGGTATGAAATGCACAGCAATCTTGAGGTACAAACTGTGTAGCAGGAAAAGACAGGTGGAAGTGGCCTTTTTAGGCAATTGGGGATGATTAGAGAATGCCACCATGCATTTCTGCCTTTGAGAAATAATGACTAGGGCAACTCGGTTTTGCAAGTTAGCGCTCTGTCCAATGTTTCCAATGCAGAGGAGGCCAAATATTGATTTCAAAAAAATGTTCTTTCCTGAGAAAAGGAAAACAAAAAGGAAGTGACTTATCTGCAAGATATGGCAAAGGACCCTAGGATGTTGCCAATAATTGCTGTTCCTGGTACAACACCTCTACTGTGCTGGATCTTTTTTTTTAATTGTTCAGAAACATTAAGTCAACTCTTCTTATATTACTTTTAACTTTAAGAGACTACACAGACATATCAGTGTTATATCTTGGCAATAACAAACTGGTTTTATATTCCACCTTCTGGGATGCTTCTTTAAACCTTTTAATTCAGGCCTATAACTCTGGGATTTCTTGATGGATTGCCATCCCAATTCAACCCTGTTTAGATTTTCAAGATCAGTCAAACTTGGTTAGTTGCCACCATCCATTGTAACATGGAGCTTGGAAGAGGATAGGAGGGTGTGAAGGTATAATCTTTGCATTAATTTCAACTTTGATTGGACCATGTGTTTTCTTCCAGCGTATTTAAAGAAACTATATGAGTTGGCTGGATATTAAACAATATGGAGGGCAGCGAGTGGTTTGCCATGTATCTAGTATATCATGGATGGATCAGCACAAGAACAGATTAAAATACTTTGCACACATTCTTTCTCTCTGTATTTCTTATATTTAGTCTGTCACATAATGCATTATGTGATATAGCAATAGCACTTAGACTTATGTACCGCTTCATAGTGCTTTACAGCCTTAAAATGAGTGAGGTTTCTTATTGTGGCTGCCTTTTTGTACTTAATCATTTTATTGCATTGTGGGAGAAAAGGTCTATCATGTTTTTTATGGAACAAATTGGGGGCCACTATTGAGTGATATTTTTTACTATGCTTAGCTCTGAGTTTCAGTCTGGAAAACATTTATATAAATATGCTATTATGTTAACAGCAAGGCTTATTTTTCTTTTTTCTTTTAGGGAAAGTTGACAGCCAGAGAACGTATACTATTGTTATTGGACCCTGACAGTTTTGTAGAATATGACATGTTTGTGGAACACAGATGTGCAGATTTTGGGATGGAAATTGAGAAAAACAAGGTATTGAACATTTTGTTTGTTTGTTTGTTTAAATTCCATGACTCTTGCTGAGTGGGAAACAATGGCTGATTTAGTGCCCTAATTTTAATCTGTTTAAAATGGAGCTATCGCCTTTCTATGCATTTGAAATAATTCTCTAGATATTTCATAGTCTTAATGAGAGATATTTAGAAGAATAATTTTCTCCAGCCAATAAACATTCTGTTTTACTTACTTCATAATTTGCTGGATACATAATAAATGGAACTGTTAAAGCATCAAGGTGTAGTATATACATTGTGCAGTTGCTTACTTTGGTTTATATAAGTCATGACAGTTTATGAATTATACTTTAATTGTTTTGTTTTGCAGTATCCTGGGGACAGTGTGATTACTGGACAGGGTAGAATTAATGGCAGACTGACTTATGTCTTCAGTCAGGTATTGTTTTATTTCTGAATTATGAATATATTGAAGTGTTGTTTTTGTAATTTCTCCATTTTGACTAGTAAAGTATTGTTTTTGCACCAGATGTACTGCTTTTTCTCCCACATCTTATGTAGAATGCTATAAGAAGGAATAACCTTATAATTTCATACTATTTAGGGTGTGATCTAGCTCTATCTAATGGAATTAGCATGTTTCTTCTGTGTAAATGTATTTACATGATAGGCTATTTTGATATTTGTATTTTAAAACATTTTACTTTGATCTTAAATTTTTAGGACTTTACTGTGTTTGGGGGAAGTTTATCTGGAGCACATGCTCAAAAGATCTGCAAGGTAAGTTTATAGGCAGTGCAGGTGGCCTATCAGAGATCTAAATCAGTTGCTATATAGTCTATATAAGCATTGTAATATGGTTATGTAAATATTTTTGGTCATCCTTCCCAGATTACAGTAATTCAGCTGTTAAAACTTATGGGATGTTTGCTGAGCAGTTCTTTTATTGGGTGGGAGACATGAGTCAAAGACCTTTTGGTTTTTTAAAAGGTTTGAAAATATTTTAATTTATGTATGGTTGTGACCTTTTATTTTACTATACAATTTAGTGCTTATTAATAGCTTAGCAAAACATAACATTAAAATACAATGCAAAAATATTGCTATTGAATTAGTTGGGTTGATATAACCCCTTTTCTGGGTTGCATCCAAATTTAGCAGTTAGGTTTTACATGGGGAAATCATCTCTAAAGTTATTTCTGTCCCATCCTTGGTAAAATAAGTGTTTAAATTTGTTAAAATTAGTATCAAAGCACATTTTTTTGTAGTTTTTGTGGTGGTGGGGTTTGCTGCTTGCCTCATTGTTTAAGATAAGTGGAGTAAGTTGCTGAACTCAGATGTACTAGATCAGGGGTTCTCAATCTTGGCAACTTTAAGACGTGTGGACTTCAATTCCCAGAATTCCTCAGCCAGCAAAGCTGGCTAAGGAATTCTGGGAGTTGAAGTCCACATGTCTTAAGGTTGCCAAGGTTGAGAACCCCTGTACTAGATCAAATATGATGTTAAAATTATTTTTTCTTATAAACTCAGCAGAGAGTAAGATTGAAGAAAAAAATTCCTGTAATAATGAATCATAGATATGTTTATTTCTAATATTACTTAATACATATTAATTATGA